GGTCGAGGTGCCGCCAGCCTGCGTGTGGCTAAATACCAGCATCTTTCTGCTGTCAGGCTGCTCCTGTGGGGATCCGTGCACGGCTGTGGGGATCCGTGCACGGCTGTGTGTGCGCCAGGGAAGCGGGTGGGAAACCAGCCGTGGCAAAGGCCACGGGGAAGGAAGCTGGTCTCCTATGGCACCGCGAGCAATGGGCTGGGGAGGAGGGAGCGCAGCTTTCCGGGCCCTCTGTCTCACACACTGAGAGTGCTCAGCAGGTGCTTAGCTACTAATTGCACCAGATGGAGTGCCTGCTTCCATCTAATGCATGTTTTTTGGGTACAGGATGATCATTAGCAGTTCGTGGTAGGACTCGCTTTTATCTACCTGGCAGTGGGCTGCCAGACACTCGCTTTGCAGGAGGCTGAAAACCCAGGAAGCCTTGTTAGGGCTGTATACAAAGTACATGGGAAAAGAAGAACAGGGGTCTTCCCCTTTCCACTAACGTATTATCCCGTGATTTAGGAGGGGACTGGACTGACTGCTACTCTGTAGCAAATTGATCTGTCTGGCCCTTCCATGGGAGCAGCTCTGAACCCAGACAGCAATGGGTATATTGCCATAAAAAGTGCTGCCCAAGGAAGGTGTATCACACCCCATTTATAACCTTTTCTTCTGGATTCTGCTGCCCATCTTCTCATCCATAATCCACCAGAGGGGTGTGGGAAGGGAAAGGCATTTTCCTTCCTGGAGCATACACTTGCTAATGGCTTGCCTCTGCAGTGCTGGGGCCACAGAAACCCTTAAACCAAAAGATCTTATCGGTGAGAAGTCCGAGGCTCCTAATGGCTCAGAAGGAGAGCAGAAAAAAAACAGCCATAAATCACTGCTAAAAGGCTTAGGGAGGGAGAAGGCCAGTGATTGAGTTTGCTGCAGCTCACTGGTGAAAGCGGATCTGGGAGGGCACCCACTGAGCGCTGCAGACGAGGGATGGTGAGTGCCGGGAATAAATCCAATTTGTGTCTCAGGTTATGCTCTCTGTCAGGCATCAGCCCTCGGAGCCCTTCTGAAATGTCATCTAGGCTCTACCACTAGCTGCATGTCCTTCTTGATGGGTGCTGGTGTGGAGGGAAGATGCAGAGGGAGATGGGCGCTGAGGGAGATAGAGACAGAGAGGAAGATGCAGCATGGAGGATGTGAAGGAGGTGAGAGATGGGTGCATGGCAGACAAGGGGGAGGGATTTAGCATGTTGTGAGGGAAGAGGGTGGTTGGAAAGCAGCCTTCCACCCTTCCCCGTCACATGTGAGTGCCTGGCAGCTGGAGAGGTCCCTCACGCTGTGGGGGTGGCTTCAAGTGATGTGCCTGTCAGGAAAGCAGAGTAGGAGAGCATTGGAGTGCCAGTCACAGAGCTGCCGTTTGCTCCATCCATCCTTGGACACATCCTGTTGTGTTCAGGCAGAGCCGGGACTCTCTGGCTGCCTTCCAACCCTGGCAGGCCCAAGGGCTGTGCCTGGCCTTGGCCCATCTATATGCCCAGGACATCACTGACACACACACACACACACCCCTTGCTTCCCTGAGCTTCAGGACCACTTCTGAGAGCTAAAATGTCCTCAGAGAGGCCATATCCCCTCATCCTGATAGTACACATCAAAGATATCTGACAGCTGAGCATGAACCTCCCCGCAGGGTCAGTCCCATTGCAATCCACAGTAAAATTCTCCCTTCTTATAAAAACACAGTGAGGGATACAAGGAGGTATTAAATCATGTGAAATGTAAAGTATGAAGATAGCTTTACATGCCAGCAGACTCCAGCATGGGATCTGGGTCTGCCTGTTCTTGGGGAGGAAAGAAGGGAGGATAGCAAGAGAAAAAAAAAAAAAAAAAACGCTGCAAGGCGTTGGGGTGTTTGCTGCTAAAGGGATGTCCAGGATAAAGACAGGCAAGTATATCCAGAGAGAGTTGCAAAGCGGCCCAAACACAACCTGCCCTGCCTGTCCTCAGTGTCTCCCCTGCAGCCATGCTGCTGCAGCTCCACACGCACCACGTACATCTATGGGTGGACTCGATGACCTTGAAGGTCTTTTCCAACCATAATGATTCTATGATTCTACATCTTGGTCAGCCACACGAAGGCCCAGCAAACTCACGCCATCTTTGGCTTGTTTCCAGCTCTAGACCAAGCTGCCTGCTCTAGTCATAGATGCAAAGCATCTCTGTAGGACAGGCTGTCCTGGAAAGCAAAGAATGTCCTGGACAGAAAAGAGAAGCTGCAAGACAGGAAAAGCAGAAGATGAGGAAAGGAAAGATGCTTGATTTTCTGCAGGGCAGAAAATAACCAAGATGTCTGAGGTTCCTCCAGATGCTACATGTGTCTTCTTGCTGACAGCGTCAGGCAGAGTCTCCCTCCACATCAGGATGCTGGACATTTTCGTGTGCTGGGGCAGGTCAGGAGCAAGCCAAGAGCACTCAGCCTTTTCTGACTGAGCACCCTTACCCGCTGCCATTCTCCCATCTACTCTTCAAAGAAGACTTCATTATTTTTGCCCTTCAGTGACATCTCATTTTCAAGACACCATCTGAAGTTATTCATTTTTTAGGATCCAGTCTCCTTTTTTTCAGCACACAAGTTTCCAGCTTGACCCGTGACTGGCCTCCAAAGACATTTTAGTTGGGCTACAACAGTCTTTTCGTCTTAATTTTTTGGCAATATATAAACAATTTTATGTAGGAAAATAGTCTAAACAGAAAGAGAAGTCAAGCATTGGAACAGGCTGCCCAAGGAAGCACTGGAGTCACCATCCCTGTCAGGGTTCAAGAAACATGTAGATGAGGCATGTGGGGACATGGTTTAACAGGTAGGGTGTTGAAGGGCTTATGGTCATGCTCTAAGATTTCAAAGGTCTTTTCCAGCCATAATGATTCTATGTAAATGCATGAGCTGGACTTTTCTTACTTTATCCAGCTAGGAGTGCAAACTTCTTTCAAGCATGTGATTATTAACAAAATGCACTTGAAATGGAATGTTGTTGCATAAACTAAAAAATAAAATTTCATAAAGTGAAAAAAAAGGTTTTGGTAGAAAAAAAGAAATGGCTTTGTTTCAAGATATACAAATTCTTTATGAAAGAGTTGGGATAGATGTTTGATTGTTTTTTTCAATTGTTTGATCAGATATTACAAGAATGACAGCTAAATCTTCCCACGTTACCAAAGCTAAGAATTTACAACTCACTTCATTTGTATTTAAACAGTACCCAATCTTCCCTGATTATATGTTTCTAACCCATTTATATATTTACCACCTCTTATCACTTCCTTGGCTAAGTGCCCAGAATGTATAAAAGCAAAAAAAAAAGCTTTTCTTCCTATCTTGATGTGGCCTTTTTTTTTTTTCACTTGGAGCGCCACTCACTGCACGAAGCAGGACATTGCCATGTGTATGTCACTGTGCTTCCCAGCCAGGTTAATAATTAGCACTTCTCCTATTTCCACCTGAAGATGCTGCTTTCTTTTAAAAGCGCTTTTGTCTTCATAAGCCATTTGTAACACTCTAAGAGGATGATAGTACAGAGGTATTTCTGCTCCCTCACCCACTGGCTTTCCTGTGACTCACGATAGCAGCTATGGCCTCTCAGCAGGATTCTGTTCCCATGCACAGAGCAGCAAACTAGCTCAAAATCACCATGGTTTTTCCACACTGATCACAGAAGCTTTGATATTGCCACTGTCCTTTCACAGGATTTTGAATCCTAACTCATGGTTAATGGAAAAAAAGGCCTTAATAGGTACATTGGCACCTCATTTTTTATTAAATGCTCGGTTTTAGCATCTCAGCAATCATGTTTCCATTTTCTTACTTCTTTATTTCTTTAAAAAGAGAGGACATTAAAATCTTGGATGCTTGTTCATGACAAAAATAAATTCTACTCTCACTGCAAACCAAAGACACAGGACATTTTTTTTTTAACCAAACTTAAAAAATATGGAATGTTATCAACACTTTCCAAAATCTATTTTTGAAACTCGAGCGTTAATAGAGTGTTCATGCATTTAGCAAAAACAACTTAGTGATGCCCAAGGGATTTAAAGCCAGCTTTGTTAGTTAAGCTAACTTAGAGAGAAACGCTTTGCCAAGCACGCTCATTGCCAGGGCTGTTAGCTCTCGGGTGCATGCTGGGCTACTTCCAGGAGAGTCAGCTGGCCCCACAGTCTTGCAGTGACCTCCTGATCCTGTCACTGACTCCAAGCAGTCCGAGGGAGATTGATTTCTCAGTAGGTGCTTAGCTATATGGTAAAAATCATCACAAAAGATATTATCCTTTTGTTAAAGATCCAGGAGACAAAAACGAAAAAAGAAATGGTCCTGGAAGTACTACGAAATAATAAGCAAAGCTTCATTAAAAAATATATATTCCTCATTTCTTTCCTTTTCTTTCAGCGCGCCACGCTCTCATAAATCATCCTCCCTGTTGCTCTGGCATCAGTGTAGTGACCGCTGGGACCGGTGTGGCAGAGGGTAAAGGGTGCCTAAGGCATGGGGAGAGCAGGGCTTCTGCCTCAGGCCCTGCTCAGGGATGAGGTGGAGCTGCTGGGGGATGCTCTTCCTGGCCAAGTGTGTTGGGATGTGTCTAGTCAGGGAGAGGGAGGTCTGATAAGAAGGCTCCTCTGTCCAGCCCACCTTCTCCAGCATCCTTGCTTCCCTTTTCTCCCTTCCAGATATTTTCCCTTCATCCCAACACACGATTTTTTTGTTTGTTTTTTTAATTTCCATACTCCTCTTAACAAATTCCTTGGGAGTTAATCACAGACATTTTTGGGTTGAAGACAGTCTTTCTCTCTGTCATTTCTTGCTGCCTTTTGTAAATTATCCTATGTAGCAGAGTTGGCTGTTTCTACCCAGTTTAATGCATGCCTCCCTTGCTGTCACAGCTGCAGGACCCTATAACGCTGAGGGACGGAGGGACACTCTCCCAGAGCTGCCTTCCTGAGCACTGCCTGTTTCGGAGGCATCGCAGCCGCATGCACACCTTGTCCCCAGGCTGATCTGCTTGCTGACATGCTCACAGATCTCCCTGCAAAGTGCTGTGCTCTGGAGGGATAGATTGTGAAAACATTACAGGGTTTGGCTTGTGTCTATTCAGAGGCAATGGTGCAGACACCATCCACGTGTTTGCTGGGAACAGGTACTTTGGCTGAGTGGCAATCAGAGCTTTCTACTGATCCCACATGGCATTGAGGCTGGGGTGGGATCAGGCTTATTTAGGTTTTCTGTATCTTTTTCCAAGTGGTGTTACTGTGCATCTCTCATGCAAGTAATTGATCCTATGTTGCTGTTTTGGATATGGCTTAGCTGTTTTTGCAATCAGGCAGGTTCACAGGCATCTGCTCATACCAGTGTCTCTCTCTGTGCAAGAAGAGGGTCATCAATAGCTTGTACTCTCTTGTGATGGCCCCTTTGGTCATCTGGGAGAGCTTAATTTGGGAGAAAAATCCCCCACTGACTAGCAGCACCGTGGCAAGAAGAGAGGACCATGGGGAGAGGCCTGAGCATAGGGCTCCTCCTGGAATGGCAGCATGTGCCCAAGCTGCTGTGAAACCAGCTGCAGCCTCTGCTGGAAGAGCTGGCCCAGGCGTCCAGGTTGGTACCCGCTAAGAGACTGTGGGGCAGTCTCTAACCGCAGGGCTGACGCTGGGCTGTGTCCTCTGTTCCAGGTCTCCTGCTGCAGAAGGAGCTGTTTGCCGCTGGAGACGCAGGTGAGATGTGTGGGCCCTGGTGCCCTCTGCAGGATTCTCTCCTCAGGGCTCGCCCTCCTTCTGGAAGCTGGAGGTACTTCGGGTGGCCTCCTCCCCATGGCCCAACAGGCGCAGCGGGGCCTGCCTGAGGCCCTGCTCCTGGCAGGACCTTGGCTCTGTGCCCTGAGGTCCTTCAACAAGAGCTGCGGGAGGCGGCCGGGCTCTGCAGCCAGCGGCGCTCACCTCAGGCAGCACCTTCCTGTGGGCCGACCCTGCAGGATCTGAGCCCTTTTTGTGCCGCCTCCTATCACCTTCCCGGGAGCTCAGGCTCCCTAATGCAGGGATGCTCCCTGGCCCCACAGAGCCAGAGCTGAGGGAAGAGACCCCTCTCCAGCCAGCCGGACCCTGGCCCCGCACAAGGGATGACTGCAGAGCTTGCTCTGAGGGACACAGACAAAATGAAAATGCTCACTGTGACCACAGGCAGCAAAGTGGTCCGTTTCAGGAGTCGGTGAGACTAAGGAGACCTTTAAGGAGGTAGAGTGAAGGACTTGAGACAGTGCCCAGTGCCTTGGAGCCCCCCTGATAAAGAAACCTGCTGCTCCAGAGACAGCTACTCTGTAAAGCCAAAGGACTTTGGTGGAACCTCAGCACCTGCTCTTGACCTCCAAATCAGGGACAGGTCATTGCTCCAGGTTCCCTTCTCCTACAAGCTGTCTGCCCAGTGCAGCACTATCGGCAGGGGCAGGGGTGACCATAAGAAAGCCCAAGGTCAGGGCTTTCTAGTGTGGCCTCATCCCTTCTCTTAGATCCCTACTCCCTGCAGCCTTGTGTATCTTTTCCTTTTTTTGCTAAAAAAGGCCAAGGGATGCTCCCAAGACTGTGTCACCCTAGGGATACTAAATGTAGCTTGAAATAGCTCCTGCAGAGATGGGTTAAGCATGTAGATGGGAACCGGATAACACTGGGAAATTTTTGAGTATTAGCTACAAAGAACACTGGCCTGGGAAAATGATGAAGTGGAAAGCGTTGCAAGCACTTGGGCTGAGCTTCACGCACTTCCGGAGACACCTAGCCTTTCTGGTTAAAAAAGTATAACAGCACAGCAAGGGCAAGGGAGGGAGAGAAAATATGAAAAAGAAAGGGTTGGACCTTATGTAGATGGTGCTGGTACATTGACTAAAATTAACTAAAGAAGCTCATAGTTAAGGTGGTGTTGGCTAGACATGTGGGTCACCAGATAGATATAATAGTCTTCGTTTCTGTTTCTTCTCCCCTTGCAGAGTCCGTGCACAACCTCTCTGCTCAGCCCTGGCACGTGAAGATGGCCAATCTGACCTACGACAACTTCACCGCCAGCAACCGCTCCGAGGCAACAGTTCAGTCTCCCACCAACTACAAGACCGTGGAGCTGGTTTTCATTGTCACAGTCACTGGCTCGCTCAGCCTCGTCACCGTGGTGGGGAACATCCTGGTGATGTTGTCCATCAAGGTGAACCGCCAACTCCAGACCGTCAACAACTACTTCCTCTTCAGCCTGGCCTGTGCAGACCTCATCATTGGGGTCTTCTCCATGAATCTCTACACAGTCTATATCATCAAAGGCTACTGGCCACTGGGTGCTGTAGTGTGTGACTTGTGGCTGGCCCTGGACTATGTGGTGAGCAATGCCTCTGTCATGAACTTACTCATCATCAGCTTTGACCGGTACTTCTGTGTCACCAAACCCCTGACGTACCCAGCCAGGAGGACCACCAAGATGGCAGGGTTAATGATTGCAGCCGCATGGATATTGTCCTTCATTCTCTGGGCCCCTGCCATCTTGTTCTGGCAGTTCATTGTTGGCAAGAGGACAGTCCCCGAGGGGGAATGCTACATCCAGTTCCTTTCCAACCCTGCAGTGACCTTTGGCACAGCAATTGCTGCTTTCTACCTGCCTGTGGTCATCATGACAGTGCTGTACATCCACATCTCACTGGCCAGCAGGAGCAGAGTGAGGAGACACAAGCCTGAAAGCAGGAAAGAGAGGAAAGGCAAGTCCATCACTTTCCTCAAAGGCCCCTTGATCAAACAGAACAACAACAACTCTCCCAAGAGGGCCATGGAAGTGAAGGAAGAGATGAGGAATGGGAAAGTAGATGACCAGACCTCAGCCCAGACAGAGGCTACTGGCCATCATGAGGAGAAGGAGACCTCCAATGAGTCCAGCACTGTCAGCATGACCCAGACCACAAAAGACAAGCCAACAACAGAAATCTTGCCAGTGGGGCAAGGGCAGAGCCCATCCCACCCCCGGGTGAACCCATCTTCCAAGTGGTCCAAGATTAAGATCGTCACCAAGCAAACTGGGACCGAATGTGTCACTGCCATTGAGATTGTCCCAGCTAAGGCCGGAGCCTCTGAACACAACTCACTGGCCAACAGTCGCCCTGCCAACGTTGCCAGAAAGTTTGCCAGTATCGCCAGGAGCCAAGTACGGAAGAAGCGCCAGATGGCAGCCAGGGAGAAGAAAGTCACCCGGACCATATTTGCTATCCTGCTAGCCTTCATACTCACATGGACTCCATATAACGTGATGGTCCTTATTAACACATTCTGTGAGACCTGTGTCCCTGAGACAGTGTGGGCCATCGGCTATTGGCTCTGCTACGTCAACAGCACCATCAACCCAGCCTGCTACGCCCTCTGCAATGCCACTTTCAAGAAAACTTTTAAGCACCTTCTCATGTGCCAATACAGGAACATTGGCACAGCCAGATAAACTGGCACTCAGGGACCACTTTAGCAAAGTTATGGAAATCTTTCCCTTTGCCTCCTTTGCTGGGGTGAGTCCTCGGCTCCCCACTCACAAGAGTGCAGACTGTGCAGTGAATGCAGATGATGCCCTTCACCCAAAGCTGACAAACATCCAAGGCACTCTGGGCTGCAGCTCCTTCTAGTCACCTTTGGCCTGGGGACTGACTTGGGGAGCCAGAGAAAAAAACCATAGGCAAGATGCTGCAAGGATATGGGATTAACAGGAATCTGTCTCAGTTCTCTGCTCTTGAGATGCTGCCTCTTCTCTCCCGAGCTGACCTTCTGGAGGGCTTCAAAGTGTGTCTCCCTGTGCCGGACCAACCACTGGGTGCTTTTAACAGTCTCTTAAATCAGTCTCCAAGACGAAGAGATGAGTGCCAAGCATTTGACAGCCATTTTGGACCGCTCTGGCATGGATGTGCTCACAGAAAGTCCTTTTGGCCCATCTAGCCTCTCTCACAAGGCAGTCGATATTGCGTCCACATGGATGCTGCAGGCTCCCTTTCCTTTCCCTTTAGAGATATGCTGATCTAGAGACTATGGGAAGTTTTTTCTCCGGGCTTTGACTCCGCTATACCCCTCGTGCCCTTTCTGCCCCGAACTGGTAGTTGGCTAGATGGTTGGATGGACAAAATAAACATCTCTCTTCTGGGTGAGGTGTAAAAAACTAAGTCATCTGCTAAAAAGAAAGAAATTAGAGCTGCAAAGAAAAGCAGTGATAACATGTAGGATTTCTTTCCACAGCCCTGAGGAAATATGGCCTCTGAGAACCAGGCAGCAATGATAAAGTAACTACCCTTGGGAAGGGAAACAGGGAGCTGCTGTGCGGTTGAGAGGACAGGGCTGCACAGGGCATTGGGCAGAGCAGAAATGCAGAGACAGAGGGTCTTGGAGCGGGTAGTGGCCCTGTAACACGGCAGAGATGCTCCGTGTGTCATCTGGGTCCGCGCTTGGCCTCCCTGCTGCCCGTTGCAGGAGTGGACACACCGTTTGCTGGGTGCTGTCTGGGTGATCTGGGCTTGGGGGTCAGGTGGAAGCTGCTTTCCTGCCCTGGTCGCAGCAGCACACCCAAGAGTGTTTGGAGGATCTGACCACCGATCTTTGTAAATGGATGTACCCCTGTTGTCAGTGTTGTCACAGAGTCCTCAGCATGTGGGGTTCAGTGTACATGTCCGGCCCCCGTCCCGGCGTATTTATGTATACAGACCAAATCAAGTAACACTGTTGCTCAGCTTCTCCCAAAGTCAGACTTTTTGCAAGCATTTTGTGGGCACAGTCTGGCACAGCTGCACAAGTGAGGCCTGGCCGGGGCCACATTGGCACGTGTGGCCCACGTCTCTGGGTCTGTGGGTCCTTCCTGCCCCCAGCCTGTGGCAGTGCTGTGCCGGTTAGAAAAAAGGCTGCCCAACCCAGGTGGGGACTCCTGCTCTCTGCCACTGCCTTTAGAAGGATTTACATAGCATTACCCAAAATGCCTGGCAGGTATTTTTGTTTGATTGTTCTTTTTTTTTAAATTATTACAACTGCAGCAGCAGAATCCCCTGAGACAAATAAAGACCTCGGACCAGAAACCCCAAGTTGGCGTATGAGACATGACTGTGTTGTCCCTAGCCCCTGCTCTCCCGGCTGCGCCACGGCAGCCCTTGCACGTGTCCCCGCGGCACCAGAGGCTCTTTGGGCTGCAGGCTCCCTGCGTGCAGCAAACACGGCCCCCGCTGC